TAGCGCAATTGAAATTAAATAAAAAAAACGAAATTTTACTATATAGTAAAATATTACATGATAGACTCCAGTTAAATGAGAATTAGTTGCTGCTTTTTCAACAGTCCTAAGGGCATCTTAACCTTGAAGTTCAATTCATCCATTATAAAACAATCACCGCTCGTCCTTGTTAAAATTGGACGCCAGCCAACGGACCCTCAGTTGCTAGAAGACATTAAAGTTACATTGAATGATACTAAGCAAAAAGATGTCAAACAATTGAATTACATCTTTGTTGATAAAAAAAAAGAAATGCAATATAATCCCTTATATGTTTAAATTTTTTTTATTAAAAATTCAACCTATAAGTAAAATTTTTGTGATGTTTTAGCAGTTAAATTAATATACTTTCTCCCGTCAATTATATTGCGAAAGTCTGCATCTTATTTAGCCTTAGATGGTCAACGGAAGCAGACTTTCGACTATAAAATATTAAATACATATTTCTGTAAAAGTTAAGATACGATAGAGATCAGGTGTACCAGCTCTGTAGAGTCTCAACCAACAATTGACTCAGTAATTGGACACCCGGTCCTATTTGTGCGCAAAACAATATTAAAGAGATATTTAACGCTAGAATTAAAAGTGTAGAGTCAGTTAATAACCCTAGTCTATTTACGCGACATTTAATAAACATATTCTTTAATTGTTCAAGAACGGCTTATTACTTTAGCCTTGAGAAATCTAGAATATAATTTAGTATTTCAAACTTTCTAGTGTTGCCATTCAATCATGAGAAATTATTAAAAATTACTATACTATTAAATGCCAGTATACTCTCTTCGTATTAGGGAATTTAAAAAAAATCTTCTTAGTCTTTTAAAAAAAATTTAATACAGAAAAACGAATTGATTGTTATATAAGCATGTTCTTTATTCATGCAAGCGGCTCAAACGATTTTCAATATCAATCAAATATTGACGGCTCCCCCAATAAAACCGACATGAGACGTTAGAGAACGGGCGCGTTGCCCGTTCTCTTGAATCTAATAATCATTGAAACCAATTGATACGATACGACTGATGTTTAACGTACGATCTACTATTATACTCATTTGTTATGAACTATTGTATTAAACAATAGCTCTGAATGTCAACACTGACGCATGTTTTTTGTATATGTAAACTATTTTATTGAAAAAAACTTCCATGCTGTCATTGATGAGATAGGCACTCGTAGATTTCAATTGTTTTTTTTATAATTCTAGCAGGATTTAAAATTTTTTTTTTTCAAATCTTTGTTAATAATTTTAACTCTAGTCTAAATGTGTGATCGATTACAATTAAAAAAAAGCTTATCTGAGTGTGACGTCATTTTTAAGCTATCTGAGCCTCTATCCGCCAGTGGTGGGACTGCCCTTAGTATCTTAAATGAACATTTTGAAATTATTAACCGCAATCTATTGCATTTGTGTCTTCAAACGTCTATCTTAAAACATAAAAGTATATATAAATATTGTGAGTAACAAAACCTCACCGCACAGACCTACAGTCAAATGAAACGCCCGAAAAGACAATAGCGCCGCAAGAACGATGGATATCCAACGTGTTGAATTATTTATGTCGGTACTGCTTTACTGCAGTAAATTAGTACAGAGCTTTTCAAACGTTTTGATTTTACTGGCTATTCTAGAAGACCATGATACCATAAGAAAAAAAAATCAGTGACAGTAAACCTTTGGTGGTGTCAATTTAAACGATAGAAGTATGTAAATTGTGCACTCAATTAAATTATATGTCATGTTATTTAATGTAATATCCCTTATGATTGCAAAGTGCAACGCCGTCTTTTGTTTTGTTTGTTTAATATTTTTTTTAGAACTTAAAACCTTCAAAAAATCAGTTTTAATATAAAAATAATTACGTCATATTCTGTATTATGTTACAAATTCATAAATTGTATACTTTTAAATACACATGTGTATAATGTTATTAAATACTGTTTCGCTGAAAGAACCCATGCCAAAGTTTGACGACTCCTGATTTAGAAACAAAAACAGCAATTCGACTGAATAATCGAAGAATCCGCTTCTTCTCCGTCTCGCATAATTGGGCCCGACGAGAAGACGATTATGTCTTGTTAGCAACCGTTATTTTGTTGAACGAGCGTAGTTCATTAATAACTTAGTTTCTTTTACGTTTATTCGTTAAATTAACAGTAGGAAGTTTTTTAGTAACTATAAACTGAATATCACATGAACTAAATAATTATGTGAATTTAATTTTTATTGACTCTTTATAACAAAGATAATAAACAGTAGGCTAATTTCTTACCTTTTTAATGTAAAGTTAATGGACTTTTAAGTACATAAGTATACAAAAAAACATCAAATCATTTATCTGTTTATAACATTACTTTGGAAAAGTAATTGCAATTGCGCACTCAATATACCAAGAAAACTATAAAATACAAAACGTTCTACTTGACATTATTGGTTTTTTTTATGTATTCAAGATCTATTTACAGTTTATAATGTATTCAATTTACGTCACAAATGGAACACGGAAAATATTTTCTACCGTTGGAACTAATTATCATGTCCAAATATGGAAACATTCCGACGTATTCTATCGCTATTAAAAATGTAAATTCGATCTCTTACAACCTGCTTACTTGTCTGTATTTGATAGTATTGTAGGTTTTTAATACGCAACATAGAAAGGTATTTAGTATATAGTTCAACAATCGCACGATAGCTGTGCGATTGTCGATTGTTTGCAGTCTAGTCAACTGTTTAGTTGAACAACTAAAATCGAGTAGTGTGCGCACCGTACAAGCTCACAGGAATCAAAGAGAGAAAGGTTTGCGCGCTCTCTTAATGTTCTTCTAAATTGTTATGAATCTTTTCCATATATCTTGAGCTTCACTTGTCTGCGTAGTAAAATAACAATCATCATCATCAGCTTTTATCTGTTGGATATAGGCCTTCCCTAATACCTTTCACAGAATACATTCCTCTAGACGCAGTGTTTTTATTGTTTTAAAATATTATTTTCAACGTAACCAAGACTACGAGTGTACGTATATAAATCATGTAAGTATTTAGACCAAATTAGTAACATTCTTTATAAGTTTTAATTTAAAAATTACATTTCACTCTACGAAATAGACGGAAACTCGCCATTTACATTCACGATACAGGATGAGTAAAATGTTTACTATCTATTGTAGTTCTTCAATACATTGTTTCATTTATTGTTTACTACAGATCATAATTCACTTTCCGTTGAACTAAAACAAGGTGTATTTAAAACCATGTGTACTAAGCTTCTAAGACATCCGTGACTTGACTTTATCAAGGGCAGCAAAAACAACAACCGCTACGGTTACTGTTGTATAATGCGTTAGATAGTTTCTAGTACTTGACTGTTGGCATACATTCCTAGTGCCCGATATGGGCGGGAAACGGGCAACCGTCTCGTGCAACAAACTCGACCCTTGTTTATCTGATCTTTTACCGGCGACATTGTCTCGCCTGTTTAGCATGCAATTTTAGACACGTCAGTTTCTATTCTAGTGCCCGCTGACGCATGTCTGTACGCTTGATATAGCTTCCTGCAGTTTACTTGTTTTCTAATGATCTATGTGCGGGTCTTTAGTGGGAGTATCTTTTGTTTTATGAGCCTGACTGAGGTGGTAGCTTCATAACTACTCATGGTAGAGTACCAGAATTTGAAACATATTCATGGTTACTTTTTTATGGTTTCTCGACTTTTCGATCGTGTAAGATATTGGTTCTTTCGACATTTGTTCTCCTTTTAATTTTTAATTAATACAGCTCTACATTTAATTGTAAAAAAAAACAATATTTATCAGTACATCGAGAGAAACAATTTTTAATTGAATAAGATTGAATTGCCTACCATTAACTTTATTTTATTTCCCATCAAAATCAATTTCCTCAAAGTCAAGTGCAACTAATTATTGGAGATATCGTTGTGCATCAGTGACAGCTGAGGAATGAACCCGCGACCTCGAGCGCAGCGGTTGTTAGGTCGGCAGGTTATCTCTAACTGCATTAGTACGGTAAACAGAGAATTTGTACACGCTACTTTCTGGTAAAGTACAACACTAGTGTTTATTTCTTAAAGGTTAGACTTAAAATAAAATAAGGTGGTAATTAAACAAGATTCTTTTGCTTCTTGACCGAGTACAGTGAGTCAAGTATCAAATAGTTTATTTGCCAGAATATAGTATAGGTACGTAGTACGTGATAGATTGCAGTTATTTTAAAGTTTCTGAGATAATTTTAAATTTTAATGTTTGTTGTTTAATAACATAATTATAGTTAAAATGGTGGCGCAAAAAAGGAAGAACTGGAAGTGGCTTCACCGAAAAAGACAAAGTCCTCAAAAAAAAAAAATTTGTCATCATAATACTAGTTTTCAATTGTTTTTTAATTAGATACATGTATCGTAATTTCGATTAGAGTTGAAGCTATAGAAATTGGAAAACAATTTATTTCCATAATCAAAAATTGTTGTACTGTCAAAGAAGTTTCGATTTCAATAACTATAAATATAAAAATTAAAAAAAAAATGCTAGTCACTAAACTACTTTCGAAATTTCATATTCGTTCAAAACAATCTATGAAATAATTATGAATCGATCGTAAAATCAAAGGTAATTAATAATTATAACCAACTCTGAACGCGGTTTAATCAAAGCCAGTATTATGATTAGCAAAAGAACACTAACATAATTGATAGCAATTTTGCTTTCCCGTCATCTATTTTAATTACATTTTCATAACAAATTATTAATTAGTATGTATGTTGAGTAGCTTACTTGGGTATCATATAAAAGTGATAACAGTCACGACTTAGATGTCGATGTCGACAACTCTTAGATGAATAGAAAAAATAATAATTCATTTTTTACTTTAATGTAACACCTTCTTGGTCTCTTCTTTATATTTTATCTAAGAAAGTATAGTTTGTTTGTAATTAATATGTACTTACATTTGTTGTTAGCTGCGTAGTCAAGGTGTGAACCTTTTCTTTAGCATCAGCAAGTTCCCTTCGTAATTTTCGAACCTGCAGGAGAAAAAGACAATTAAAAAAAACAGTAAAATTTCAAATTACAAGGTCAAGCACGGCCGAAGTTGCCAAATAATCGTAACATTATTTTATCATAGAAGAAATTTGTGTAATACTTACTTCATGAGCTTGTCTTTCTTCGGAGCCAGCGCCGGCCGCTAGAGAAGAAGCCGTTGATACCAGAGAAGCAGTCGATCCGTGTACTGTGTACAAAATAAATTTTATTAAATAACATTTTTCAGAATCATCTGAAATATTACTGATTAGCAGTTGATTGCGTCATAAAGTCCTATATTATTCGGCGATAAAGAAGCTAAAACATGGTGAATTATTTTTTTAAATAGGCTCAATAGTTTTTGAGATATTTCAATATGTACAAAAAAGCAAATCTTTCCTCTTTATAATATTAGTATAGATAGAAGATTTATTAGTTATTTTACCTAGTACAAAATTTAGATCACATTGCAGCAATGTTAGATTTTTTCGGATGGTTGATTGGAGAGGATAAAAGTTTGTGTAACTTTAAGGATATCGAAAGTTCAGCAATAAATATTTTTTTACTGTATTCCTGTAGTTATTCGGTTAATGAATCGAGGTAAACCAATTAGTGGAAATGGTGGATTTATAGGTGAATAGCTTATTCTATTGGTGGGTGAAGTGGGTGATGGTGGGATTACCTTCATCATTTTTCTTAGGATAGTGATGTGAATGTCGCGGCGTGTGCATCACATTGGCGGGCTGGTGCGTGGGGCTCAGCGCCGAGCGCGGAGACGGCGACGGCGGCTCCGACACGCCGTAGTTTAGACCTACAAATGTTATGTCAAGTTAACAATGGTATGAGAATTGATAGAACTACTTAAACACTTTTTATATTATCATAATTACGGAAGATTTTCTCAACATATTAAAACTTAAAAACCATCGAATCGTTTCGTGTAAGGAAAAGATTTCTGTACAATACTTTCTAGGTGTAACATTACTAAAATAGAAAGTAGGCGAATGTTAAACTACAATTGACTTCCTTCATCATTTTAGATGTTGATATCGACACTTAATGCAATACTGACATGCGATTTTTGATTAACCATAAGAACATGCACAAGATTAAGTAAAGTGAAATGAAATACTGCAGCAATGTTTGGAGAAATCAGTCTAACATTTTTTTTTACATGACTAACAAACTGCCACCTTCATTGGCGTTAATAGCGAAGTAACCGCTTTCTATGTTTATCTGCAATGGATACCAAGAGATATTATCCTTATCTATAAATTCCCGTACTAAAATCTCTTGCCGTTAACATACTAGTTAGAGAAGTGTTCAAGAGGCAACGGAATTTGGTATTTAACTAGTTACAAACCTTGTCCTGATGGTCCATATTGCACTGGCAAACAGTAATACGGTTCATAATCGCTCTCCGAAGATCTCTGCAGCATCGACGGATACAACTTCTCTGACTTTGTCGATCTGCAATAACGTCAGTTTAATTTAACTAAATATTAAAAAGGTTAAAAGCTATAGCGAATATTGCATGGCCTTTAATTCCTTTATAAACAGCTGGTAAAAGCCACTATTGAAAACGCTCGAAATAGGCATTAAATTTTACTGATTAAAAAATAAAATAATGAGTGCAACGTTTATACACATTTAGTCAGAATAAAACTGGCCAGTGTTGTAGAATTAAAAAAGATCGTGGCAAAAACAATGGTATAAATTGTATAGCATAGATTAAGATTCGATTTATTAGAAGCCGTGCCATGTTTTGAGAACATGCATAATTATGTCGTAAGTTCGCACTACACATAAAACAATAATGTTATCTCCCTTTCGCTCTCTTAGGAATGAAATAGAATAGCAAGATGTTTTATATGTGTGTTTTGACAGTGCGAACTCAAGGAAACAGCTTCGTGTTAAGCGTGCGCCAACTCGAAGCAAAAACATGAATAAGCTCCCAACCTTTTGTTATCGTACCTTGGAAATGTCCTATCTCTGAGATAGCTAAAATGTAACCAATAATCCATACTTAAAATGTTAGAATATTTAAAGAGAATTATGAAGTGTGAAATATAAATTACCCATGAATTATGATATTTGTATTTTAAAAAACCCTAAATGACAATGAGTGGTAATAATGGGTATCCATATAATGAAATTTATACACAAATATATAGGATGGTTTAAATTGAAGTTATATAAATATAGACAGGCCCTTAAAAACGTGATTAATGTCTGTTAAATATCTGGTATTTTGTTGCAATATCTGGTAACGCTAAATTGTTACGAACTAAATTATTGCAGATATGCTATGAGTAAAACTAAAGAAATGGAAAATAGATTATGCTAGACTAATTTATTAATCCCGATGTATTTTACTTTACAAGGGCCTATTTATATGTAGCAATATTTGTACAGATAACAATATTAGCAGAAAAGCGGTTTCAATGGATAATAGAATAAGTAACTTTGTGATACATAAACTTTTGGTACGATGAACTCCACAACCACACTATAAAATCAAACACTTGGTTTAACCATAAAAATCCTATGCGGCGAAAATAGTTCCATCTGTCTATGTTTAAAAGTTAAGTTTTTAAAACGAAAGGCGTAAACACCAAGGAGATCAACTAAGCCCATGGAGATCCGCAACACCAGAGGAACTACAGATGCGTTGCCGGCCTTTATAGAAATGGTAAGCTCGCTTCTTAAAAGACCTTAAATCGGACTGGATTGGAAATACCGCCGAGGACAAACCGTTCCACAACGCGGCTGTGCGAGGAAGAAAGTTCTACGAAAATCACACGGTCGTGGAATGCCAGCAATGGACATGGTGAGGATGGTATCTGATGGAACTTTTTTCGTCACGTAAGTTAAGATATGAATTGTAGGTGATAATAGGAATGAGAGTAGTGTGTAACCCACCTAATGCTGTTGCTCCGGTTGAGCCGGGAGCCCTGAGCGTCGCGGTGCAGGATGAGCTTATTGTGTGTGAGTGAGCTGCGGTGGTGGGAGTTAGGGGATGAGGTGTGGTTGTGCTGCGCCGAGTGCAGCGAGCTTAGGGACTCCATAGACTCGCCCTCGGACAGGCGCCCGCTTGCCGAGTATGTGTTGCTGAAAGGGGGAAAGATACGAGGAATCACATGCTGGCCAGTTGTATTGGTTATTTAAAAAAAAAAGTCTAATTTAATACTGGCAATCGCGCAGCGTTTTTTTACAACTGGCTGTATCAAACAGTTTTTTTACAACTGGCCACATCTAAGGGATCCGCAAAAGCATGTTGGAATGATACATACAGTGTGTTACACTTTGTGTTAAATATTAATTTACACAAAATGCACACACACATAATTATCAAGCATATAGGATACAATCAAGGTGACAGATGATTTGATACTATGAAAACATATACATATGTCTATTTATATTTTTACATGATGTTATTTTACACACCACGCACATACAGGGGTACATATGGATATATAATATGTACATAATAAATGCTTACCTATGTCGAAGCCATGGTGCGTATGGTATTCCATAATCTGATTTCACTTCGGAGTACGTCTGTGTATCGGAGAGGCTTCCGTCGCTAATCTTCATGCCTCCTCTTGGAGTTATTCTGCAATAAATTAAAAGACAAACCTTTAATCATTTACTCAATAGATGTCGCTGTCATAAAATGATTGAAACAATTTATTACTTTGCTAATTCCTGATTTTATGATTTTCCGAACTAAGACGAACCATTACGCTCCTTACCGAGGCAAAGGTATAACTGAATAAAATAATTCCCACGCCGTTATCTCAAGGACCTTATACAAACAAACCGATCACTGATAAAGATTATTTGCCTTCATATTAGGATGTAAAAAAGGGTACGTCAACCCCAATGATAACGTGTTATGTGTTGAAATATTTCAGTTAATGAAATAAAGCAAACAATTCAAACGCAACAAAAGTACAACAACTTATTTGTATTAATCTTTCTTTGTTTTGCAGTCTGTACTACAAACTTTTATATCGACTGGCTTAATTTGTGACTAGAGTAATTCAGTAGCTACAATTAGTAAATTGTACTGCTAGGCAATAAACAGAAGGACATTAGATGTGATGATGTCATTTAATGGTGTAAATCAACCGATGTGACGTCACAGTGTGTTTTGTTTATTGAATTGCCAGCACTTAACCTTGTTTCGCAGAGTTAAGAAGCACAAGACAGGCTATTATAAATGATTTATCATGCATCTTGTGTTTGATGGATACTCTAAGATTTTAAAGAGGCGGTTAAGGTTGTGAGGATCAGTAGATATTTACAAAAATTTGTGAACCTACAAAAATACATTGTTGGAACTAAAATTTGCTAACAAATTACCTGTGATGATGGAATAACGCAGCGAATTCATGGGTACCCGGCTTAGGTAGAGACTGTGAGCCGAGTAACCTCTCTCGTACCGACGCTGAGAGCTGCGCGGCCGCTGTGCCGCCCAACGAATATGACTTAGGTCCAATGCCGTTCTCTGTGAAAGAAAGAAGAACTATAAAAAAAGTGATTTTTGCAGTACTAGTCATATCGATACTAGACGGTTCGGAACTAGCATCGCACAACTAACATCGCGTCGTATCGCACAAGCCAGTTTAATTCGTACTATGAAAATACATTTGACATTCAGTCTTTTGTAAGACTTATAAAATTAATTACACATAATAGTAATTTGTTGTAAAACTTACTATGTATTTGTAAATCTTGAGTACACGTCTGCGTCCCACCGGATACTTTGACTTTTGTCCTTGGAACGGCTGATACTTGAGCAGTTCTCCCACCTAGAAATAATCGCGGTATATTTATGTAATAGAAAAAAAAAACTTTAAAATCTCCATCCATCCTGATTAGCCGTTTTTACTAATAACTGCAAACATTATGTCCGTTATAGGTAACAAACTCATTTTATTAAAATAACTATCGTATTACCATGTCCATGCTGCGGAGGACCGTTGGCGGGCGGCGGC